AAAAAAATATTTTTTCTAAGGCAAAGGAAATGTCTTTATAGAAAGAATAGAGATGTGATTTTATCAGAATCTGTATAGATGATAAAACAAAATTTGGGGTAACAGTTTCGTGGTACTTATAAATGAATGCTGAACTTGATGTACACAAGTTTTGGGGTTTTTCCAGCCTATGCAACTATATAACCATTCATGGATCCAGCCCTGTTATGTACACTTTGCACTTGCTAAAATGTAAAATTTAATCGCACAAATATGAATAATGAAAATATCTGTTGCCTAGTATTTTCTTACCACTTCCAACAGATCTCTGGATACAGAAATCTGGTAGATAAATACAGCTAGGAAAAACTGGTTATATATTAAACATATAAGAGAAGGATGGGTGAGTCATTTTGGATACCAGTTTATTTTAAACCTGTCAACATCTGCAAATTATATGGTTCAAATAGTAATTGGACTACTTTACAAATGTTCTTGGTCTCTGGGGTTAAGGAAAAGATTTGCATTTAGCCATTGAGATTAAATGGGAGGGAGATGGTTCCTATGGAAGTTTAGATTTAAAAAAAATAAAAAATAATAATAATAATGTTTATCTAAGCTGTATGTAGAAAGTAACAGAACATAAAATCAATGGCAACAAATGATTTACTTCCATACACATTACTGATGCATCAACAGTGTAGCCATCACATAAAACAAACAGCATGGAGTAGTCACCACACAAAGTAAACAAAAAAACAAGCATAGTATTAAAGTGTAATAACTACAAGAACAGATACAATAAATTGATAGATATAAATTGAACAAGTCATTTCAAACAAAGGTGAGTTATTCAAGTACTGGTATGAATAACCCAACAAACAGCTCCAAAAATGTTATCCTTGTGAGTTGCTTTACTTCAACATGCCTTCACCACAACGAATCACTCGTGTTGAACTCTGTCCAGTGCCACATAGAAACTGTTCTGTTCTTTCAGACTATGCCATCCAATTGGTCCCACTTCACAGTCAGCACATATCAGGAACTTAATGGAACCTACATCCTTGCTGAATCCCACATTGTCAAAAGTGAACATGTCATGTACCAGCCAGTGCTCCACTAGCAGTTCCAATTCAGGAGCAGAGCTCTCGGCTGGAAAAGTCTTCGTCTTCATTGATGGGAGGAGCAGCTGCACGAGAAATAAAAAAACAATATATATATTGTATTTTTTTTAAAAAATACATGTACAAAGATGGATGAATCAGTATACGGGACAATACACGTTTGCAATTTAGTGCAGAAAAAAACCCAATTGCGAACAGGTAACTTTAAATTGAAATTACTGTGTAAATGACATCAGAGAAAATGATTACGATTACAGAAGGAAGTTTTACATCATACCACCACCCTTTACGGTAGCCCATAAGCCAAACTCTACGCTTATTCTATGAAGTACATTGGGAAGCGAGTTCAGTACGTGGTGTATAGAAAAGGGCTAATTATATGGCAACGTGTAGTCGGCTAAACCGGGAAATAAATCTTCCTGACCTCTCTTTTTGCCAGCGTGGCCACTCCGGCAGACAGAACTCTACAGCCGCAGCACTGACAAAGCACAGCTCGGGCATTCTTTCCGTCCTCCGATACTAATCGTTGCTCCATGGTGCAAATGAAACCGGATTCTACGTTCTAATTACGTCAAGGCTGCGTGCGCTTCGTAGGGTTGTAAACACAAGAGATAAAACGATTGCTCTGGAACATAAGCCATTTTAGTGAAGTTAGTAGAGCACAGCCCGCATTAAAGGGTCACTCCAGGCACCCAGATCACTTCTGCCCATTGGAGTGTTCTGGGTGCCAACTCCCACTACCCTTAACCCTGCAATTGTAATTATTGCAGTTATCATAAACTGCAATAATTACCTTGCAGGGTTAAGTCCTCCTCTAGTGGCTGTCTACTAGACAGCCACTAGAAGGACTTCCGTGTTTTTAAAACACAAAAAGTGTTTTAAAACGCCATTCTCACACAGGGGTGCTGCAGAATGTTTCCCTAGTGCTAGATTATAGCACCGGGGAAACAGTGTTCAACAGGGGCCCGGCAGGTCCTTTAAGACCGGGACCCTGTAATGTCGACAGGCTGGGAGGAAGTTGGCCCCTCTGTGTTCCATGACGTGCTGGTGGGGAGATCAAAGATCTCCTTCACCGGCCCACATGCAGTGAAACACGGAGGCCGGCTGGGAAGGGAGACAGCCAGGAGAGGAATACGGAGGAGCTCTATCTTGCAGCTCCGCCAGATTTCTCTCGCAAGATCTGGAGCATGGCAACGCTCCAGGTCTCACGAGAGTGAACTCTATCCCCACAGGCTAGGATTCACTCACCGCTAGGACCCCCAGGGATGGATGGCAGCAAATCCTTCACACACACACAGAACCCTCACACACATACACATCACCCTTACACAGCACCCTAACACACACACATTACCCTCACACACACATACTGCACCCACACACAGCACCCTCACTCACACACACAAACATATATCCCTCACACACACACAGAACCCTCACGCAGCACCCTAACACACACACACACCACCTTCACTCAGCACCCTAACACATACACACATCACCCACACGCAGCACCTTCACTCACACACAGCACCCTCACACACACAAACACATATCCTTCACACACACCCAGAACCCTCACACAGAACCCTTACACACACACACAGCACCCTAACACACAATCACCCTCACACACACACACATATACCTCACACACACACACTATACTCCTCACAAAGGCAAACTACAACCTACACACTACACCCTTCACACACACTGCACACCTCACACAAACACACAGCAGCCCCCAAAACGCTGTACCACTCACACACACACAATACTTCCAAACATATATTTATATATACTACAGAACACATTACACACATACTGCACCCCTATACACATTATATTCCAGACAAATACTAGATACCTTACCCAACTCTGGATCATCTACAGATATACACACACTAGATCTCTATATACACTCTGAATCCTCTACACACACACTCTCACTAGATCTCCTATACACACTCTGGGTCCTTCAAACACAATCTAGATCCCCTACACACACACTACATTTCTGACATACACACTCTGGATCCCCTATGCACACACAAGATTCCATGTACGCAAACACATAGTGTCTCCATAAATGGGATACAGAGTATCCCATTTATGGAAACCCCTGAGACAAGTTTCAAGCAAACACAATATAAGCATGTTATTAAATGTGCTTGTGCTGTGCACAACAAGTACATGGCCATTTTCTCATGCTAGAGCTCTTCAGCAGAGCTCTGCGCATGGTCTGCCCTGGAAGAGCATTGAACCAGCATGCTCACTTTGAGATGGGGCATGCTTGTCATTGGGGATGACAAAACACACCCTATATGGCCCAGCCCCTTTTTCAGTGGGTCACTGTGGATAAAAAGTGCCCAGACCGAATTTTTTTCCAGTCCGGTCCTGTGTGTATATATATCAGTGTGCTTCATTGTCTGTGTTTGTGCACACATCTGTGTGTCAGGGTGTGTGTTTATCCCAATGTGTATCTGTGTCATGGTGTGGGCATGTATCAATGTTTGTGTGTGTCAGGGTGCATGTGTGTATCTATGTGTGTGTATGTTTCTGTGTATATGTGTGTGTGTATGTGTCTATATGAATTTGTGTGTATGTCGGTGTATTTATATGCATCTGTGTGTTAATGTGCATGAATATCTGTGTTTGTATGTATGCGCATACAGACAAACACACGCCTGCAATCTAACACAAAAACTTCACATACAAACACACCCCTTCACTCAAACACATATACTTCACACAAATGTACATCCACATTTAAAAGTGAACATTACATTCAGACACACCCCTGCAAATGCAAAAATTACATACAAACACAGCCCTCTATTAAAACACAATAAATGCATACAAGCACCCCTTCAAACACCAACACCGTACATAACACTATAGCGCCAGTAAATGCCGCAGCGCTGTACAGATATACAACCTAGAAATTTTGCCTTGGGGTGCCTTGGAAAAATACTGAAATATTAAGGGTGCCTTGAACCTAAAAAGTTTGGGAACAACTGCTATATTCGATTCTTGATGATTTAAAATAAAAAAATATAAATATATATATATACATTTTTTGTTTTTTCTCTAAAACAAACCTAAAGTTCCTGATGTGGTGTGAATCCAACCACGATACTTTCTATGCAGGTAGAGAATATAATTAAGCCAGACCACATTTTGCAAGCAAAAGTTTATTACGGGCTGATCTGTTTATATTACAATATGACTCATACAAAAAAACTTTCAAGGAACACAATACAAACGTGCATTCCTGACCCTATGCTGTTAAAATCACAGTTTAGGAGTCGGCCCATCTTACCTCCCTTTAAAGAGTTAAAAACTCATCTTATTTCCATTGTCATGTCGGTATGTTGCGGCAGGCCCTGCTCCGCCTACTTTTCCTCCTCGTCCACCTTTCTCTTAAGAAAGCATTGGGGGCTATTGCTCATGCATTGCAAAACACCTCACTGAGACAATCAATGCATCTCTACGGGGAGCGTTCAGTGCCTAAATGCAAAGCGTGGAGACACTGAACGTAGTGTGCAGCACTGACCCAGGAAGCACTTCTAGTGGACGTCTGAGTGACTGCCACTAGAGGTGTTCCTAGGCCATAATGTAAACACTGCATTTTCTCATAAGTGTTTACATTAAATTGCCTCCCCCCCTCCCTGTGTTTCATTCCCCCCAGACCCTCCATGTGCCTCATTCACTTCCTCCTCCAGCCCCTTCATGTGTCTCATTCCTCCTCCACAGCTCCTCTATGTGTCTCATTCCTCCCCCAAGCCCCTCCATGTGTCTCATTCCTCCCCCCAGCCCCTCCGTGTGTCTCATTCCCTCCCTCCAGCACCTCCATGTGTCCCATTCCCACCATGTCTCTCTCCCTCCCTTCCTGTACCAGCTCGCCGCCGTGGTACCCATCTGAAAAAAAGTGCTGTCTCAGTGAGCACTTCCTGTAAGATTGCAGTCCGATCGCCCACACTGCAGACAGCAGCAGGAGGGGAGCAGCGTAGCACTACCCTCCTGCTGGTCACCCAACAAATGCAGGCCCCGGGCTAGAAGTTATGGTACATAAGGGTACTGTTATATTCGGCAGACAATGTTAAATCAAAATAATGAGGCTTTGTTGCGATAACTCATCACGTTTATGAAATTATGAAGTGTCCTGTAAAAATGGAGTTCATGTTCATGTTAAAAAAAACACAAACAAAAACGTAAACCACTAAATGGGGCCTGCATAAAACCAGTACATGGGGGGTACTGTTGTAAGCGTTAAACACAGCTGAATGCAAATATGAGTGTTTTTGAGCAGCAAAACATATAATAATAATGATGATATAATCAGTGAAACTGCAGTTTGTGTGTGCAAAATGCAAAGAAACAAACATGAACACTAACTTTGGCAAATTTCATTGTTTAACTCCTTAAGGACACAGCTTCAAAAGCTTGTCTTACCGTTAAGGACACAAGCTTTTTTAGCATTTTTTGATGTTTGTGTTCAAACGCAATTTGCATCTGTCATTTATTGCACCAACACATATTATATACTGTTTTTTAGAGGGCAAAAAGGGCTTTAATTCGATGTCATATATACAAGATATATTCTCATTAATTATAAAAAAAATTGCCAAAATTTTTTGGAAAAAAACAATTTTTCACAGTTTTGGCAATAATAGTGTGTGCATAATATGTCCAGCTTACGAAAAGTAATTCAAAATAAATTCATTCATGTGTCTTGATTTATAGAGTACATAATATGTATAGGTTTTCAGCTTATTTTGAAAGTTACAGGTCTCAAAATACAAGGACTAAAATAAAATTTCAATGTGAAACAATTTTCGAAATTAGTATATTTGTCTTGTAGGTTTAGTAACCATCACAGAAAACAAAATTGCTACACAAAATTATATATTTATATAAAGTAGACATCACAGGCTATAAAACAAAGGTTATTTTGACACTTTTTATGTAGCCATTTCAACGCCAATCTCTGCTAAATATTGGAGTAAAATTGTGATTTTTCTCTATTTTGGCATATACACACATACAAGGTGTTTGTAATGTGTATTTCGTAAAGCTGGTGTGTGCTATTCCGGCACAGAACCCCATATTGGGTTCAATTTGAGAAAGCGGATATCCCAGGGTATCATATATGGCGTATATTGTGCCTTACCGTGTCACTATTTTTTCACCAGTTTATGTCAGTTTGTGGTGAGGAGGAAAAAAAATTGAATTTTTTTTACATACATGCTGCATTTTTGCTGGGTATTTCTTACACTTGATATGTGCCACGGTCATAAAATTCCCCAAATTATGCTCAGTTACATCTTCTGAGTAAAACAATATGCCCAATGTATGACCTAGACACTATTTCGTGAAGTTACAGTGCTGTAAAAGAGACGTGACAAGTTCAGGTTTTTAAGTGTGAATTTTCATGGAGGGTTTTGATGCATCCGTGTCCAGGCTACATATTCCAACTACACCATAAAGGCTTACCATTTCTTAAAGAATACGTCCCAGGGGACTTCAAAAGGCATATTTTGAACCTTGGCATGGGATAATTTTTCTGTTAGCTTGTACCATGTGTTGTGGTAATAAGCATTTTTTTTGCACAGTATATTTTGCAAAGCTTCCATTTTGGAGTAGTTTGGCTGGTTGGTTATTCAAAATACCCCACAAACACATACCATTTTTTTTTTAAAAAGAATACACCCTAGAGTAATTCAAAAGGCATATTTTGAACCTTAGCGTAGGACCATTTTTTGGGTATTTTGTACCAAGTGTAGTGTTAATTAGGATTTATTCTGCATATTTGACTCACACAGTGAGCTTCTACTGTATATTTTGCAAACCTTATGTGTGCTAGGGCAGTATAACTCTTCATAGATTGCTCAGCTATGCCGTTGGAATATAGGAATACCCCCGTATGTATCTTTGCCAGGTATATGTGGATGTTTAAGGGGCACATTTAAAACGCAGCCAGTTTTCTTTCTAACTTTGAAGTTTTATGCTGTGTCCATGATCCGTTTTGGAGTAATTTAGCTGTTTTGTTATTATTATTAATATTATGTTATTTATATAGCGCCCACAAATTCCGCAGCGCTTTACTGTGGGTGGACGAACAGACATGTAGTTGTAACCAGACAAGTTGGACACACAGGAAAAGAGGGGATGAGGACCCTGCTCAAGGAGCTTACATGCTAGAGGGAATGGGGTAAAGTGACACAAAAGGTAAGGATAGTATTAGACTAATGACAGTTGCAAGAGAGGAATCAGTCAGGAGCTATTAACAGTTTAATTGATATGCTTTTATGAAAAAGTGGGTTTTTAATGATTTTTTTGAAGGAGTGGAGACTGGGTGAGCATCTAACGGAGGAGGGAAGAGAGTTCCACAGGAATGGTGCAGCCCTCGAGAAGTCGTAAAGGCGAGCATCAGAAGCGGGAGTACGGACAGAAGATAGACATAAGTCTTCAACAGAGAGTAAGGGCCTAGACAGGACATACTAGTGTATTAGGAAGGATAGATAGGTGGGAGCAGTATTATGTAGATATTTGAAAGCAAGAACAAGAATTTTAAATTGAGCCCTATATCTTAAAAGAAGCCAATGTAGGGACTGACAGAAGGGCGGACAGGAAGATGAGCCTCGCCGCATTTATTATGGACTGCAACGGTGCAAGTTGGGAACACGCAAGACCACTGAGAAGCGGATTACAGTAGTCAAGGCAAGAAAGGACAGTGGAATGGACAAGCACCTTAGTCGCATCTGGCGTTAAGTAGGCTTCGGACGGGTGCAATGTTTTTTTTGGATGGCAGGATTTGGCGATAGACTGTACCTGAGGCGTGAAGGCGAGGTCGGAGTCAAAGAGAACACCTAGGCAGTGAGCCTGTGTGGTGGAGCTGATGTTAGCATTGTTGACTTGGAGGGAGACAGACACAGGTCTTGAGGAAGGAAAGACCAGAATTTCGGTTTTGGTCAAGTTGAGTTTAAGGAAGTGGGCAGCCATCCAGTTAGAAATAGCAGAGAGGCAGTCAGAGACACTATTCAAGAGGGACGGGGAGAGATCAGGAGAGGACAGATAGATTTGCTTGTCATCCGCATAGAAATTATATCGGAAGCCAAAGGAGTTATTGAGTTTACCAAGGGAGGCAGTATAGATGGAGAACAGTAGGGGACCAAGGACTGTCAATCTCATATACACAACTCTTTCAACGATATTGGATGCAAAAGGCAGTAGCGAGATAGGATGGTAGTTGGACGGGGAGTTAGGGTCAAGGTGGGGCTTCTCTAGAATTGGGGTTATAGTTGCATGTTTGAAGGGTGATGGAAATAAGCCAGAGGAGAGAGAGAGATTGAGAATTTTAGTGAGAGGTAGAGAAAGAGAAGAGGACAGTACAGAAGAGATGCAAGGGAATTGGATCTAGGGAGCAGGTGGCTGGGGCAGGAGGACTGGAGCAGAGCAGAAACCTCTTCTGCTGTAGCGGGTGCGAATGAACATAGAACAGCAGAGGGAGTGAGGTTAGGGGAAGAAGAAAGATGATAGATCTCTTCCCTGATTGTAGAGATCTTGTCAGTGAAGTGAGTTGCAAAGTCTGAAGCGGTCAAGTTAGTAGGTGGAGGAGGAACAATAGGGCAAAGAAGAGAGTTAAATGTGTGAAATGGTCGTTTAGGTTCGCGGTAGAGTGTGGTTATGAGGGTATTGAAGTAATTTACTTTTTGCAGAGGAAAGAGCCAAGCTGTATGAGTGCAGCATTAATTAATAGTGGAGAAGGTCAGACGCACAGTGAGACTTTCTACAACAGCGTTCAGCAGTTCTGGAGCATTTTTGGAGATGTCAGCTTGGTGTGCCAAAGTTGTTGCTGGAGGCGCTTGCTGCATTTAAATGTAGGAGGTGCCATGATGTCTAGTTGAGAGGAGAGGGTGGAATTATAGAAAGAGGTTGCAGAGATAGGACAGGTGAGGTTTGAGATAGGTAAAAGGAGAGTTTGGAGATTAGTGGAGAAATGCTCTAGGTCAGGGCTGTCCAACCTGCGGCCCCAAGATGTTGCTGAACTACAACTCCCATGATTCCCTGGCTATCTGTTTCATTGAAAGAATCATGGGAGTTGTAGTTCAGCAAAATCTGGGGGGCCGCAGGTTGGACAGGCCTGCTCTAGGTCAAGACATTGGAGGTTTCTGTGAGATTGATGTTCAGACAGTGGTGTCAATTGAGTCTTAGGTATGCCGATGTCAAATGTCAGCAGATAGTGGTCAGATAGAGGAAAAGTAATATTGGAGATTTTAGAGGCGGTACAGAGCTTGGTGAAGGCGAGATAAAGAGTGTTTCCCGCTGTATGGTTGCTAAATTGAATCATTGTGTAAGGCCAAAGAAGGAGGTTACAGTGAGAAGACGAGAGGCATCAGTGCAGTTGGGGTTGTTGACTGGTATATTGAAATCCCCAAGTATAAGGGAAGGAGTGCTAGATGAGAGGAAGTGGGGATGCCAGAAAGAAAAATGCTCAATGAATAGCCTAGGATGGGGGTGTAGATGATAGCAATTCTTAAAGCAGTGCGTTTAAGTAGGCGGACAGTGTGAACTTCAAAAGAAGAAAAGGATAAGGCAGGGGGAGTTATGATTGGTTGAAAGGTACATTGAGGGGAGAGAAGGATGCCTACACCACCTCCTTTGCAGTTGAGTCTGAGAGAATTGTAGCCCACCAAAACATAAGTAGTGTGAGTATGGCTGTTATTCAAACTACCCCACAAACGCATACCATTTTTTTTAAGAATAAACCCTGGGGTATTTTAAACCCTAGCATGGGGTAATTGTTTTTGCTAGTTTGTTACAGTGTAGTGGTAATTAACATTTTTGTGAAAATTTTTTTACTTTTTTCTTTTTACTTATGACATTTTTTTAACTTTGTTAAACTTTCTTAAAACTTTTTTTACACCTTTAAAACGTTTTTTGTAATCAGTGATTTAGATTTTTTTTTTTAAGTGACACTGTAGGCACTATAACCATTTAATAGAATTTGGTTATACTGCCTAGATTTCTCTGGAGCTGTCCCCTTCCATTCATCTTTAAAGGACCACTCTAGGCACCCAGACCACTTCAGCTTAATGAAGTGGTCTGGGTGCCAGGTCCAGCTAGGGTTAACCCATTTTTTCATAAACATAGCAGTTTCAGAGAAAGTGCTATGTTTATGAATGGGTTAAGCCTTCCCCTATTTCCTCTAGTGGCTGTCTCATTGACAGCTACTAGAGGCGCTTGCGTGCTTCTCACTGTGATTTTCACAGTGAGAGCACGCAAGCATCCATAGGAAAGCATTATGAATGCTTTCCTATGTGACCGGCTGAATGCGCGCGCAGCTCTTGCCGCGCGTGCGCATTCAGCCGCATGGGAGGAGAAGAGGAGGATCGGAGGAGGAGAGCTCCCCGCCCAGCGCTGGAAAAAGGTAAGTTTAAACCCCTTTCCCCTTTCCAGAGCCGGGCGGGAGGGGGACCTTGAGGGTGGGGGCACCCTCAGGGCACTATAGTGGTCCTTTAAACCATTTCTGAGAAGTGGAATACTACATAAGTCACCTACTGGAGGTATGGCTAAGGCAGAGATTACAAAAGCCTTTCATTCACATTCATACTAGCAATGGTTGCAGTGATAGGCTGAAAGTGTTGAGCTAACATTCTAAGCCAATCCACTGCTGCTTCGGCCAATGTGTCTTCATTACCACAAGCAGCAGAGAAGGGATGGGCTACTGCTGACTCTTACACTAAGTATAGTTTAAAAATGAGTGGAAGGACTGCTTCAATGGACTTAATTGGCTGATTGATAAAAACAAACTATTAAAATTTCTATTTTTGAAAGCACTCTTACCATTTGTTTTGTTTTATATTTTTCTAAAATGTTTGCTCAGTAGTGCGTGTATATATATGTGTGTGTGTGTGTATATATATATATATATATATATATATATATATATATATATATATAAAATGCACTGAAATAAAAATTACATATATAAATTGCATATAATTGCTGAAATAATGCACTAAAGTAAATATAGCGCACACTACAGCAAAGTTAGAAGCCAGCTATTCAAATATTGCTGATGTGTACTTTTGAGGTTTTTGGAGAATGCGGCATCTGTTAGCAGCATGAAAAGATAAAATATAAAAAGATTTTGTTGTAACATAAGTTGGGCAACATGTTCCCTTTGTAGGTGACTACAGGAATGCATAAATTGAGTCACTGAAAGCAGTAAGTGTTGCAGTTAGTATGTTCATCTCCTATGTTACTGTAGGATCCTCGAACCCTACAATATGGTGTAACTTAATTTTCAAATTTGTTTGCTAAAATAGATGATTTTAAGTAGCTTTGTAAAATGCTAAACTGTATTTTTTTTTCTTGTGCGCTGTTCCTTAATCTGTATTTGTATATATTTTGGTCTCTATAAGCGGCACAACGAATGAGACATGCATGCTCTGGGTTTGCCCTAAATTACCTTTTTGTTGTTGTTGTTTAATTGTGAAACATGTAATAAACAAACAGTAATGGACTGCAGTTGTGAATATTTCTTAGAAATTAATCAGACATTCATTTGTGTATGTACACTTTAATTGAGGTATCCAAAAAGTGTTATCCACTTTCAAAATCATACCCTAAAGCTAATTTTCCCTGACCACAGTAATATGAAGAAAAAACAAAAACTAAAGTGATATTTACTTACCAGAAAGATATAATGTGAGAAAAATCTAGACTTATTAATATGATGTTGCTTTGCACATACATCTATGTAGCATGACTGGTACTCAACCCTGTTACATTGGATATTTTATATTAGTTTAAGTATCCTGGTATAACCCAAGTGTTGATGTTAAACACTATTGTGCAGGACTGTCTAGTAGAGAAGTTGATACAGAGCAAGAATACATGTCATGGTTCTGAAGAGGGTGTTTCAGTAATTCTCAAAAATACATCAACTCTTATATCTTCAATATTTCTGATAGTTGTTTTATCAAAAATAGGTAATAGTGACCATCACTATGAGGTCAGCACGGCACACTGTTCAGTTACACTGGTTGTATTTCAGGCTTGTCCACCTTTAAAGCAATGCCTTGTAAGTAACCAGATGGGAGTAGTAAGACCAGGATCTTGAGTATTTTCACAGGAGGGAATCATCAGTACAACCACCTTCTAGGCCATAACGGAATTCTTGAAGATTTGAGACTCCATAGAAATGGATAAAAGCTGCGGCCACAACCAAAACATGGAAGATTTGGTGAGACTGGAACTATAAGAAAGAACATTTCCATTAATTATATTACAGTTGATGCATTATAATGTCAAATCCCACAGTCTGGCACATATTAAGATACGGAAAGTTTTTTTTAAATACACTCCTTAATGCTTACATAAAACATTCAGATTAACTGTGCATTTATTCTCTAGGTTATAAGTTGCACTGCTGTATATTTATGCTTCGGACCTAGTGTACTACGCCAATATGCTGTACAGTGCATTCAGACCCATTTATTTGTTTTTCCATGTATATATTTTATACAATTGTTTATATTTCTTTCAACCTACACTCAATACCCCATAATAACAAAACAAAAAAAAAAAGCAAAACAGATTTATGACACAATTGCATATATATTTAACCCCTTAAGGACTGAGCCAAATGTACACGTTGTGATCAAAACAAAAGGTAAAACAAAAACTGGAATTTGCGCTATATGTCTGTTCAGGCGTAATTCGCCTCTTTCATATTATGTGCACCCACACGTATTATATATCATTTTATTCAAGGGAATCAGGGCTTTTTTATATAACATCAAATATTTAGGTATGAAACATAATTTAATATGAATAAAATATCAAAAAATGGGAGAAAATAAGAATTTTTAAAATTCTTTTAGTTCTACGTGACATTTTAACTGACAATGTCATAATACTGTTTGCTTTTACTGCAATAAAATACACATATTTGTATTCCGCGATGTCTCACATGTAAAACAATACCCCCTATGTACAGGTTTTATGGTGTTTTGGGAAGTTACAGGGTCAAATATAGCATGTAAAAAAAATTTCACATTCGCCAGATTGGTTACGTTGCCTTTGAGACCGTATGGTAGCCCAGGAATGAGAATTACCCACATGATGGCATACCATTTGCAATAGTTGACAACCCAAGGTATTGCAAATTGGGTATGTCTAGTCTATTTTAGTAGCCACTTGGTCACAAACACTAGCCAAAGTAAGCTTTAATATTAGTTTTTGTGTGAAAAATGCAAAAAACTAATTTGAACGCCAATTTTGGCCAGTGTTTGTGACTAAGTGGCTACTAAAAAAGACTGGACATACCCCATTTGTAATACCTTGGGTTGTCTACTATTGCAAATGGTATGCCATCATGGGGGTAATTCTCATTACTGGGCTACCATACGGTCTCAAAGGCAACATAACCAACCTGGCGAATTTCAATGTGAAAAGACTGAAACACAAGCATTTGACTGTAACTTTTGAAAACTACATAAAACCTGTACATGAGGGGTACTGTTGTACTCGGGAGACTTCTCTGAACACTGATATTAGTGTTTTTAAAGCAGTAAAGCGTATCACAACAATTATACCGTCCGTGTGCCATTTGTGTGTGAAAAATGCAAAAAATTGCACTTTCCCTGCGATATCATCGTTGTAATACATTTTACATCGTTGTAATACATTTTACTGTTCAGCGAAGTCTTCAGAGTAAAACAGTACACCCCATATACAGGTTTTATGGTGTATTGGAAAGTTACAGGGTTAAATATAGTGCTAGCAAATTAAAGGACCACTATAGTGCCAGGAAAACATACTCGTTTTCCTGGCATTATAGTGCCCTGAGGGTGCCCCCACCCTCAGGGACCCCCTCCCGCCCGGCTCTGGAAAGGGGAAAAGGGGTAAAACTTACCTTTTTCCAGCGCTGGGTGGGGAGCTCTCCTCCTCCTCTCCTCCCCGTCGGCTGAATGTGCGCGCATTCAGCCGGTCGCATAGGAAAGCATTATGAATGCTTTCCTATGGACGCTTGCGTGCTCTCACTGTGATTTTCACAGTGAGAATCACGCAAGCGCCTCTAGCGGCTGTCAATGAGACAGGCACTAGAGGCTTTGGGGGAAGGATTAACCCATTTATAAACATAGCAGTTTCTCTGAAACTGCTATGTTTATAAAAAAAATGGGTTAACCCTAGCTGGACCTGGCACCCAGACCACTTCAGAGTGGTCCCTTAAATTCCCTGGACTTTTGGCCTCGGTTGTCAGGCAGGTTCCGCAAATCGTAATTAATAAAATGACCTAATTATGTAAAATT